AATCAAGAGTCTGAGGCCAGCCTGGGCTACATAACGAGGCTTTGACTTTTCTTCTTCTCTCAAGGCTGGTACTCTACCACTTGAACCACAGCTTCATTTCTGGGTTTTTTGCTGGTTAGTCGGAGATGATCCTCAGATATCAGCCTCCTGACAAGCTAGGATCACAGGCATGAGCCACCACTGCCACCTGGTTTTCTTTTTCTTTTTTTTTCTCTTCTCCTCTCTCCTCTCCTCTCTTCTCCTCTCTCTTCCTCTTTCCTCTCCTTCCCTCCTCCCCTTCCCTTTTCTCCCCTCTTCTCCTCCTCTCTTTCCCTCTCCTTCTTCCTCTCCCTTCCTCTTTCTCCTTCACCCTTCCTCCCCACCTGCAGTACTGGTAATTGGCCTCTCCAAAATTTGGGAAAGCGTATGCCTAAACATGAACTCTTTGAGCGCAGGATCTCCTGCCCCAATCCAGAGCCTGGCCCATAGTAGGTGATCCATAAATACCTGTTAGATAAAAGTCAGATGCAGAGTTATTTCTAAGTTCCAAGAATTCATCAAACCAGCCACTCAGCAAATAAGGAATATTATATGTGTGCAAATGTGTTTATTTCTACTAGGCTTTCATTACAGTGCAAACTCTGAACAATTATGCTGCCCTTAAGATATGGAGCTGGTTGCAGTGATACATGCTTGTAATCCCAACTACTCAAAAGGATGAAGGAGGAGGATCTTTAGCTTGAGGCTAGCCAGGGCAACATAATGAAACTTTGTTTTTTGTTTTGTTTTAAAAAAAAAAAAAAAAGCTGGTACCAGTGGCTCACATATGTAATCCTATCTACTTGGAAGGCTAAGATCTGAGGGTCCAGGGTGGAAGCTAGCCCCAACAGGAAAAGTCCATGACACTCTTTTTTTATTTTCTTGTCTGTCGTGGGGCCTGAACTCTGGGCCTGGGCACTATCCCTCAGCTCTTCAGCTCAAGGTTTGCACTCTACCACTTGAGCCACAGCGCCACTTCCAGCTTTTTCTGCTTATGTGGTACTGAGGAAACGAACCCAGGGCCTCATGCATGCAAGGCAAGCATTCTACCACTGAGCCATCTTCCCAGCCTCTCCATGACACTCTTACCTGCAATTAACCACCAAAAAAGCTGGAAGCAGAACTGTGCTTCAAGTAGTAGAACACTATCCTTGAACGCAAAAGCTCAAGGACAGTGCCCAGACCATGAGTTCAAACCCTAGGACTAGAACATACATACACACACACACACACATACACACACACACACACACACACACACACACATCTCATGGGGCTAGGGTGTAGTTTAGTGGTAGAATATTTGTCTCTCATGCTTGAGGCCCTGGGTTCAATTTCCAGCACTGGGGAGAGTGGCAGGGGTGGGGGGCAGTGGGGGGGGTGGGGGTGGGGGTATCAATTCCAGGTCTAGGAGTAAGCCCAGAATTTCATTAACAGAATTTGACAGACAGCCCTAGAAGCTGAACATAGGGCTAGCTCAATGGTACAGCTTAAGTTTAGTATGCACTTGGTTTAGGTTCACCCTAGCACCAAAAAACATATTTGTGATTTTTCATAACATGGAAAACATCTTCTGTTGTAAAGTTATAAGGGAGGAGGAGTAGGCAACTGAAATGAGTCATATTTATCATGCTACCAAAAGCAAGCAAACAAAATCTTACAAGCAAGAGGCTGCTAGGGAAGGAAAACAAATGTTAACAGTAACTGACATTTTCTCTTTCCTTTTCCCCCCTCTCTATTTTCCAAACTGTGAAAAATGTGCAATCATTGCTTACTAATAAAGTGCACTTCATTTTTCACAACGACCCTTAGAGAGTGGGGCAGAAGTGGTTCCAGGCTCAAGACTCCGGGGACTCACCCCTCTGCTGCCGCCTCATCCCATTACCCAGGGATGCCCGCTGGGGCTGAGCAGGCTAGACACATCCCAAGGCCCCATGGCTCTGGCCTTCCCCACGCCAAACCTCAAACCAGCTGTCAAGCAGTTCCAGTCTGGAAATTCTGCCTGCAGGAAAGCAGTCAGTACCCCCACAGGTAGACAGCCCAGCCCTCCGGGGGCAGGGCCTCCCCCCAAACACTCAGATTTAACCTTACTATTTAGGAATTCCCAAAAAGGATTCACTGAGGGAATTTCCCAGACAGACAGACAGACAGACAGACTCAACTACTCTCAACCTTGAACACAGATGTTTGCCTGGGGGTGGCGGCGCTGAGAGCCAACGCAGGTACACAACTCTGCGGTGAGGGTGAGAGTCAACCCAAAGCATGAGTCAAGACCAGACCCGCCTGGGCAAGCTAGAGGCTGACAAGAGAGGGGCCCAGAGGTGGTCACCATATTGAGGAGTCCCTTGTGTGGTCTTAGTAGCACAGTACCTGCAGCTCACCTTTATGTCCGCTAGGCGGCGTGGCGGTTCCAGGAGGGGTCAGAGCGGTGTGGCTGGGGGGCGGGGGAGGGCGTAAGGGTTGAGCCTGCAGCACCGCAAGTTTGTCATTTGGGGGGGCTTGTCTTTCACCTTTACGCCCCAATTTCAGAAAAGCATATGCCCACACTTAAGCTTCCCACCGATTGAGGGACGGGTTCTGCCCTCGAGGGTAGGGTTTTTTGTTTTCTTAGCCTCACCCTTGCATGGCTAGTGTTCCTTTTGCTGAATGACCCTGAACATACAAATATGTGGAGAGAGGAGTGACTGAGATCAAGTACTCAAGGGAGAATGCCGGGGACAGAGTCACACCAAGGGCTCTGCGCCCCGTCAGAGCCCTGGATCTCTTACCCTCCTCCACCCCCACCCCCCTCTCGCTCCAGCCCCAGACAGCAGGCGGGGCGGGAACGGACGTGGCCCCGCCAGGCTGGGCCCAGCGAGCCAGAACCTGCCCAGCCTGAGCCGCGCTGCGCGGGACCCCACACGTCCTCGCCCCGTCGTGGTGGTCAGGGAGAAGAGGGAATCCTGGGGACCGTCTCCTCCAGGGCGGGCCGCTCTTGGGCCTCCCTGGCACCAGCCCTGCGCTCGCCCTGCACGGTGCGGGCCCTCCTCCCTCCCCAAACACTGAGCGTCTACCACACGTGCTGGCAGCTGTGCCAGACGCTGGCAAGGCGGCCGGGCACCAGCCCGACTCCCTGCCTTCATGGAGCTTCGAGTCTCTGGAACACGCGAGCTGGGACGTGGTGCTCTCACGGGGGACACGGGGGTGACCGACACCCAGGTGTCCACCCCCGGTGAGCAAAAAGCGCGTGAGGTGTGACCCTGTGGCGTATCGGCCGATAGACTTCGGCCTGGGCGGGTGGGGCCGGCCGCGCCTCCGATCTACGTGGGGCTTGGGCACGTCGCCTCCGGCAGGTGCACACGCGGGTGGCGGTGTGCAAAGCCCGACCGTGACCCAGCAGCTCGCGGACGGCTCGGTAAATATTTATGATCAACGCGGCGAAGCGGACCTCCCGCAGCCCGAGCCCACGGCCGAGGGCGAAGGCCAGCACCGGCCGCCCTCCGCCGCCGGCTCCTCCCAGCGGGTCAGCGCCGGACTTGCCGCGGCGTCCCGGCTCCGGGTAATTACAGGGAGCTGTCGCCAAGCCTGGCCGTAAAAGAGGAGGATGAAACGGCCTGGGAAATAAGGAAGCTGCCTCCCACCCCCATTCCGGCCCACAGCTTCCCTTGTTGCGCAGCCGCAAGAGAGGGCGCACACACACACACACCATCCATCCATCCATCCATCCATCCATCCACATACACCACCGCACACACGACGTTCCAGCTCCAGACACTCGCACCAACCTAATCAAACACCTGCCCGCCCTCTCCACCCGAGGAGCCGCCACCCGCCCTCCCGCCCCCCCCCTCCAGACGGCAGCAGAACAGCCCCGAGAGGCGAATTCCAGCGAGTTTGTTTACACGGCGCGGGGGAGGGGAGCGGAGCCGGGACTCGCGCCGGGGACTGGGGGACCCAGCTGAGACGCCGGGGCCAAATCCAAACGCCCAGCCTCGAGCTGCGGCCCAAACACCCCCACCCCCAGCTCTGCCCCCACCGCACGCCCAAGCCCGCTTCCCTTCCGCACGCACTGTTCACAAACACTAGCATGCGTAAGTTTCACACGCTTCCACACGCGCCGCTGTGATCTTACTCACAAATGTTTTCACACATGCGCGCCATCGCACGTATTTACGCACGCCAGATGTACAAGTGTTTGTTACACTTCTGTCGCCCCGGTACTCAGCTTCTCCCTGGCCCCCCTGCCAGAGCCCACTCTCCCCACGCGCCCGCGCCGCGCCCCGCGCACACGGGGTCGTTAGGGTCCTTTGGGAGCAACTGGAAACAAGGGCGGACCCCCCCCCCCCCCCGTCTCAAGCCCGGGGTCCCGCGTATTCCTCCAGAGCCAGCAGAGGTGCCTCCAACCCCGGCCGCACACGTTACACACAGGGTCGCACTTTATTCCGGGCACCGAGGCGATGACACCATCTCTTGAACAAAGACAACATTGACAAACCCAACAAAAACAAACAGCGGCGTGCGTGCGCGTGGGGGGGAGGGGCAGCCATGCGCCGAGTCCGGGAATGGAGCGGGGGATGGAGGAGGAAAGTGTGGGAGCCCAGCCTGGATGTGCGAGTCCTCTCCACCCCGGCGAGACGGGCGCCGGGCGCTACGGAGCCGACTGCGGCTCCGGCTCCCGCTCGCGCGTTCGCGGGCCCACACGCGCGACTTCCTCCTCGCTTCAGCACGCGACTGCACGCAGTCCTACAAAGTCCACAGAAAGCTTCACGCAGCCCCCCGCCCCACCCCCCTCCGCTCAAGTCACAGAACACGCGGCTCGGTGGCGATCTGCCGGGCCGGGGAAGCCGGCCCCGGCCCTCCCGCACCCCAGGCCTCCGCTCCGGCCTTCCCGCCCTCCCCTCCTCCACCTCCCCAGCCCCCCAGCCCCGGGGCAGCCGCGCGCCGGGCGGGGCGGGGGCGGGGCGGTGTCGGGCGGCGCCGGCCCAAAAGGCGGAGTCGCCTGGAGAAGGGGCCAGAGCTGTGAGCGCGGTGCTGACTGTGCCGTGCAGAAGCCAGCGGGAACCCAGACCCCGAGGAGCCCCTCATCCCCGCCCGGCCCGGCCTGGCCCTGCGCCATGGAGTTGCTCTGGGCCCCTTTCTTGGGTCTGTGCTGCAGTCTGGCCGCTGCTGACCGCCACACCGTCTTCTGGAACAGTTCAAATCCCAAGTAAGCCCTGTCTCCCGCTGGCAGGCTGAGCGCCTGGCTGGCACTGCCCCTCCCGAGGTTAACTGTCCCGGCCTGTCTCTGACCTGAGCCTAGGGGAAGTGGCCAGAGTTGGGAGGGATTCTGTAGGTTTTTCGCTCGGCACTTACTTCACCCTCAGAAGGAGCACTGCCCTGCACCCCGGGCAGGAGCCAGCCCGCATCTACTTGCACAGGCGCTATTTCTGCCCTTCCCTTCCTGCCCTCTGGCACCCCTGACACTCACAAGTGAGGGACCCACGCTCTGCGTACCTGACTTGAGTGTAGGCCATTTGCCATAGACCCCAGGGCTCTTTCTGTAGGCTGCCCACCCTGAAACTACTGTACCCCTCTTGGTGTGCCACTTGGGCATCTGCCCATACTGACAGGTACTTGATGTGACACCAGGAGTGAGCAGATTGTTCCTTAACCCTGCAAAGACCCTCAGGAGCGATCTGGGCCTTGGGGGATTTAGCATTCATTCTGTGTTTAAGGTGATTTTGAAGAGCCCCCCACAAGAGGTCTTTTGGGGTGGTGTGAGAAAGATGCTGTGCATAAGCAGGTTGAGGGAGTCCTCTGTTCAGGAGGCTAAGATGGTCAAACCGAAGAAATGGCCAGAAGTCTTGGAAGCTTCAGAGGGAATGGAAGGGGTTAATAGGCTACAAAGGGCTCTGGATAGGAAGGAGTTAATTTTTCCTGGGCAGGTTTAGGGTTGTGAGGCAAATGGCACTGGGAGGAAGACCCTTTGTTCTTGCCCTTGAGTTTTCTGAAGTTATGGGAACAATATTTGTGGGAAAGCAGGAGAGGGGGGTAGGGTGGTACAAGGAGTAGAAGTAGGCCTTGCAGCTGGAGAGGGGGAGAGGGGTGTCATCAGAACACCCCTAACCCTAATGTGCCTGCCTCATACTGCTCTTGACATGTGTATACATATATGACATAGATGGCATTGCCTGTGAGGGGTTGATTGTCCAGCTCATGCTGAGGGGACGAAGAAAAACCAGGTGCCAACTCCAGAAGCCAATGCACTCCTGACCATGGGGTGCCAGGACAGCCTAGCCAGTCCTCCTGCTCCCCATCCCTTGCAGCCTGCTCTTTGCCTCCTTGACCCAGTCCTGTTGTTCTACTAGTGGGAGAGAGCAAAGTCCCTGTTTATGCCCATGCCAGGTGTTGGCTAAAGGAGGAGGAGGGGACAGGAAGCCATTAGTAGGGAGGGGGGAACTCTGGCCTTTTCCGTTCCCAAGCTCCCAGGTTTCCTCCCTTTCAGGAAGGAGCCTCTTCCTTGCCCCCCCTCTCTGCCTTCCCTGACGCCAGTTCGGCCCCTTTTCCCAGATGGTAAGCAGTAGTCAAATACAGGCCACGGAGATGGGGGAGATGGTATCCCTAGAAGTGGGTGACTGTTACCCTCACAACACAGCTTCTGCCCTGTCCCTTCACCCACACACACCCCTCTACCTAGGACTAAAAGAAAGCTATCCTAGAGAGGAGTCTGTAGGCAATCTAGCTGAGTCCAGCTTGGGGCAGAGATGAGGTGGCAATAATCTGGGCGGTATGAGGCTACCTTGGGTGACTCAGGGCAGTGGGCATCTGCTCTGATCTCCAGGCCCCAGGCAGGGGCAGCCTGAGGAGAAGAATGCTGCCACTGAACACTTTGTCTTCCTGGCTCTGGAGGGTCAGGTACCTTGCTCCTTCAGATCAGCCAGCACCCTTTTCCTAGTGGCCAGTCTGGAGCAAATCTGTGCTGGGCTGGGGTCCTATGGGCTGCCCCTATTTGACAAGGTGCATGTTCACAGGTTCTCATGAGTGCTGGGGCGGGTAGCAGAGGTGGATGAGGAATGAGTCAGAGCCTGTCACGGGAATGGGGGAAAGACGCCAGGCCTAGAGCTGAAATACCTGTTCTGAAATGGCTTCTATGTTTATCTCTCCAGAGAGGAATTTTAAAAGCCTCCCTGAGCTCCTCTTTTCCCTGGGCTGGGGGAGGGGCCTGTAAGCCTAGCTCCCAAGGCCAGAGGCCTCAAGCAAGGCCAGGCCTCCTGGGGGTCAGGCAGACCGGGCACTAGGTGTCCACCTCAGAGGCCCCTAACCCGAATCTCCCCTTCTCGCCCCTGCCACCACCCCCTCACCTATGCCCAGAGCTTGAGTTTGAAGCAAGTTGGCAGCCAGCTCTGCCGAGTCTCTTGCTGGCAGTGCTTGGGGGGAATTCAGAAAAGCTGACCAGCTTGGGGGAGGGGGGGGGGGGGCACGAACACTTTCTCCCTACTAGGACCCTACCCAGGCTGGAGCCAGGTGTCTGGAGCTGGGGGGGGGAGGGGCTGGTGGGCAGTCAGTCAGGCTGGAGCCTGCAGGTCTTGTGGGGGGGGGGTAAATTAGGGGGAGGGGAACTGGCTCCACCTGGGGAGGAGGGGAGGCAAAGGTAACCTCAGGTTTAAGAACTCCAGCATTTCATTAAGGGAGGTGAAAGTGTAGCTTTTGTATATAGATAGGGATATTTGGAGATGCTCTGAGAGAAAGGGACAAAAAGACCAGAGCATAAAATTGAGTAGCAAGACAGGGATATTTGATTGAATTGATGATGATGATTTAACCTAAACGATCAGGGAGGGACGTTGTCTGTGGGCTTCGTTTTGGATTAGGGGTTGTGGGGCAAACTGAAACTGAGAAATGGGAGACACTCAGTGGGGAACAGGGGAATTGGGGGCTGGTGAGCGGAGTAAGAGAAAGGAAGACTTGTGTTGAGGGGCTCAGCACAAATATGACAAAACAGAAAGGGTCCCCTGGATCCTGATTACAGAATGGGCCTATAGGGCCTCAGGCTGAGGCCAATAGACATTTAAAGGAACAACTGGGAGTTTAAACTTGGGGAAGTCTTATAAGTAGAACAGAAAGATGACTGGGCTACGGAAATATTTAGAAGTCCATCCTTCGGCAAATACCTCGAGACTTATGAAAAGGGCTTTGGTACTTGAAAGATTCTGAGTGGATGCTATTTGGAGGATGATGAATAGATGATGGTGGTTGTGAAGATGGTGGACAGAGATGTAAGAGATCAGATCAGTAAATATCAGGAGTTAAAGTTTTAGAATAAGCTGGGAAGGTGGCTCAGTGATAGAGTGCTTGCCCTGCATGCATGAGGCCCTGGGTTCGATTCCTCAGTACCACATAAGCAGAAAAGGCCAGAAGTGGTGCTGTGGCTCAAGTGGTAGAGTGCTAGCCTTGAGCTGAAGAGCTGAGGGACAGCGCCCAGGCCCAGAGTTCAGGCCCACAACTGACAAAAAAAAAAAAAAGTTTTAGAATAATCTTTAGAATCTAGTGTGAAATGTAGAGTCACATAAATAAGTAGAGGCTCAAAGTACTGCCTGGTTTTTGTGTGTGTGTGTGTGTGTGTGTGTGTGTGTGTGTGTGTGTGTGTGTGTGTGTGTGTGTATGTGTATGTGTGCATACATGTTCATGCATGCATGCCAGTGCCAGTATTAAGACGAACTCAGGACCTTAAGCTCTTCCTTGGCTTTTTTGCTCAAGGTGGGTGCTCAACTACATGAGCCACTCCTTCACTTCAGGCTTTTGGACTGGTCAATTGAATATAAAGAGTCTCTTGAGCTGGTGGCTCATGCCTGTAATCCTAGCTATTCAGGAGGCTGAGATCTGAGGATCATGGTTCCAAACCAGCCCAGGCAGGAAAGTCTGTGAGACTCTTATCTCCAATTAACCACCAGAAAATCAGAAGTGATGTTGTAGCTTAAGTGGTAGAGTGCTAGCCTTGAGCTGAAGAACTGAGGGACAGCACCCAGGCCCAGAGTTCAAGCCCCATGACCAACAACAACAACAACAAAAAAGTCTCTTGGACTTTTCTGCCCTGAGGTTGCCTTCAAACCACCACAGACCCAACCTCCTGAGTAGCTAGGATTGCAGACGTGAATTCACCAGTGCCTGTTCTGGCTTCTGAATGACCACCTGCTTTCTCTCACTCAGGTTCCGGGACGAGGACTACACAGTGCACCTGAGGTTGAATGACTACCTGGACATTATATGTCCACATTATGAGGATGACTCTTTGGCAGTTGCTGACATGGAGCAGTACACACTCTACCTGGTGGAGCATCCCGAGTATGTAGCGTGCCAGCCTCGACCCAAGGACCCTGTCCGTTGGCAGTGCAACAAGCCTAATGCCAAACATGGCCCAGAGAAGCTGACAGAGAAGATCCAGCGCTTCACACCTTTCATCCTGAGCAAGGAGTTCAAGGAAGGGCACAGCTACTACTACATCTGTGAGTGTACATGGGAGGGAGGCACGCAGGTCCATGTACTCAGGGCGAGCGGCACGATGTGTATGGCTGGGTATATGCTGAGTAGGGAGTCAGGTAACATGGGGTACCTTCTAATACTGAATTCTTTCATTCCCATCACAAGTGGTCAAGCGAGTTTCTGCCATATATTGGGCATCCATTCGGCACTGTGGACATAAAGATAAATACAACACTTCAGACTCCCTATCCTCAAAGAAGCTGGGAAAGAGTACACATAGGCTAAACAGACCATTAGAACAGTGCAATATGGTAGACATGAGTGCATGGGCCTTGGGGAAATGACCTGAGCACATGCTAGGTTGGGAGGCAGAGAAAGGGCTGAGCTTAGAACAAGTAGAGGAGCTAAGTAAGTAGGAAGGAATGTGAAGAAAGGGAGCATAACCTCTTCAAAGAATTCTTAAGCAGTAGGCACACAAGAAGTAGAGAGAGATGGGTTTGAAGAGCAGACAGACAGATCCTCAGGACCCAAACACTGCTAGGAATTTGGACTTTTATCTTTAGGGTAATAGAGAGCTACTGTTAGATCTTAAAGAGTTACAAGTCCAGCTTTGTGTGGAATAGATCTAGGGCTCATTCAGTCATTTAGTATAAAATGGCCCAAGTAAAGGGAAGACCCAATTTCAGGCTGGGAGAATAAAGACTGGGACACATGGAAGGGATAATGTCTTTGTGTGTGTGTGTGTGTGTGTGTGTGTGTGTGTGTGTGTGTGTGTGTGTGTGTGTGTGTGTGTGTGTGTGTGTGTGTGTGTGTGTGTGTATGTGTTGGTTTTTTGTTTTTGTTTTCTGTTGTGGGGCTTGAACTCTGGGCCTGGGCACTGCCCCTGAGCTCTTTAGCTCAAGGCAAGCACTCTACCACTTGAGTCACTGTGCCACTTCTGGTTTTCGGGTAGTTAGTTGGAGATAAGAGTCTCATAGACTTTCCTCCCCAGGCTGACTTTGAACTGTGATCCTCAAATCTCAGGCTCCTGAGTAGCTAGGGTTACTGGTATGAGCCACCAGGGCCCAGCTGGGACAATGTCCTTTTTTTTTTTGGTCATGGGGCTTGAACTCCGGGCCTGAACACTGTCCCTCAGCTCTTCAACTCAAGGCAAGTGGTTTATTGGAGATAAGAGTCTCAGGGACTTTCCTGCCTGGGCTGGCTTTGAACCACAATCCTCAGATCTCAGCCTCCTGAGTAGCTAGGATTACAGGTGTGAGCCACTGATGCCCAGCTGGGACAGTGTCTTATGTCCTCCTCACCTCTGCCAAAGTTGAGAGTTGTTCTAAAGAATGAAAGATTAGGGGACTGGGAAGGTGGCTCAATGGTAGAGTGTTTGCCTTGCATGCATGAAGCCCTGGGTTCAATTCCTCAGCACCACATAAGCAGAAAAAGCCAGAAGTGGCCCTGTGGATCAAGTGGTAGAGCGCTAGCCTTGAACTGAAGAGCTGAGGGACAGCACCCAGGCTCAGAGTTCAAGCCCCACAACCAACAATAACAAACAAACAAACAAACAAAAAAGAATGAGAGATTGTACTGAACATTGGGCAGGACATGTGGGGAAAAACAAAACAAAACAAAGAATGTAAGAATAGAGGCTAGAGGGGGCTGGGAAGGTGGCTCAGTGGTAGAGTGCTTGCCTTGCATGCATGAGGCCCTGGGTTCGATTCCTCAGTACCATATAAACAAAAAGAAAGAAAGAAAAAAGCCGGAAGTGGCGCTGTGGCTCAAGTGGTAGAGCATTAGCCTTAAGCTGAAGAGCTGAGGGACAGCACCCAGGCCCAGAGTTCAGGCCCCACGACCGGACCCCCCCCCCCCAAAAAAAAAAAAGAATAGAGGCTAGCGAGAAGAGACAAATGAAAGTGAGCAGGTAGCTGTGAGAACAGGACCACCTGTTACATTCGGGCTTATTTAACTTTGTGCCAACAAAACTTCTCTACTTGACTTCCTGGGGGTTTGTCTTGTAGCCAAACCCATCTACCACCAAGAAAACCAGTGCTTGAAGTTGAAGGTGACGGTGGATGGCAAAATCAGTGAGTGTCAGTCCCTGTGGGCTTTCTCCCTCCATCTCTATGCCGGGTGGGTCTAGTGGTCTGGGATGGTAGAGAAGTTCCACTGCCAGCCCACCTAGAACTTATACCCCAGTGCCTTCCTGTCATGATCCTTGATCTGTCTCTATTCTTGTCTTTCAGCTCACAGTCCTCAAGCCCATGCCAATGAGCAAGAGAAAAGACTTCAAGCAGGTAGGTAGTTTTAGAAATGAGGAAGGGATCTGCTTGAAAAGGATGGGATGGGTATAGGAGATGGTTTGCCAGGCAGGGGCTGGGAAAATCCTAAAGACTAAGGGGTAGTCCAAATAGTGGAGCCATTTACCATGAGGCCTGTGTCTTCTCATCTAACAGACGATGCAGAGGTTCTACATAGCATCGGTCACAGTGCTGCCCCCCGCCTCTTCCCACTTGCCTGGGCTGTGCTGCTCCTGCCTCTTCTACTTTTGCGAACTCAGTGAAGGTGTGCACCTCTGGATTAAGGATTGGATCTGGGCTGAGAGACAGGGACAGGCACCCTTAACCTGTCCCCAAACTCCAGCCTTGGGAACCACTCCCATCACATGCACAAGCTGCCACCCAGCAGCCCCAAAACGGGTCAGTATTAAGGGTTTCAGCCCGAAGGAGGGCAACCAGCCTGATGGTACCATCCTCACCTCCGCTTCAGAGGAATGGAGGAAAAAGCAGGACAGTCCTTTCCCTGCCATCCCTGCCTTTAAGCCAAAGAAACAAGCTGTGCAGACATGGTCCCTGGAGAGGACCAACTGGGAACTGAGCTGGAAGGGGCCCGAGGCCATGGAAATGGACACTACACTTGGCAAGGTGCCCCTCCCAGAGAGAGACAGGACATCCAGATGAACTGACTAAAGGAAAAGCAACAGACAGTTTCCTGCATGGGAGCCAGGTACAGGAGAGTGTGCTTGGGCTGACCCAGAATCTCCCAGCAAGAGTTCCATCTGTGGAGCTGCCACAGAGGGGTTTGTAGCCAGGCACTGCATCCTCTCCCCATCTGGGGCAGCACTCCTTGGAGCTGTGCCAGCAGGGGGGCTGTGCCAACCTGTTCTTAGAAGAGTATAGCTGTAAGGGCAGTGCCCAAGAGTTCACACTGCCCAGAGTGTAGTCTAAAGGGCAGGGCCCACATGTACAGTATTGTATATAAACTTGTCGTGTGTCTGCTGATTTCTACAACTGGAGTTTTTTTTTTATACAATGTTTTTGTCTCAAAATAAAGCGATGTGTTTGTTTGTTTTTGGAAATGTTTGCTTTATTGTCCCTCCTTGTTGACTTTGTTCAAAGAGTCCCTGCTGTGTACTAGGTCAGAAGTAACTGGGACTGGGCTGGAATAGTAGTAGTACATCCTTGTAATCCCACTTATTCTAGAGGCTGAGGTAGGAAGACGGCAAGTTTCAGATAGTCTGGACAAGTTAACAAGACCCTGCCTCAAAGTAAAAAATATAAAGGGCTAGGGATGTAACTCAGTGGTAGGGCATTACTTAGCAATGCAGGAGGCCCTGGGTTTAATATACAGGAGGGAGGGGCTGGGAAGGTGGCTCAGCAGTAGAGTGCTTGCCTCCCATGCATGAAGCCCTGGGTTCAATTCCTCAGCACCACATACACAGAAAAAGCCAAAAGTGGTGCTGTGGCTCAAGTAGAGTGCTAGCCTTGAGCTGAAAAGCTGAGGGACAGCGCCCAGACCCACGATCGACAAAAAAATAAAAAATAAATAAAAATACATGAGGGAGAGAGAGAATTTAAGCAACTGAGTATAAACTTCTCAAGAGAACTTGCCCCTCACCAGGCCAAAAGGGTGGGGTGTTTCCTTCTCAGAGTTACTCAGTACAAGAGTGTTCCCACAGCAATCTTGCAGATTGTACTCCGCACCCTACTGTGGAAGCTCTTCCTGTCCAACTTCTACCCCACTCCCACCCCCTCAGCGCTGGGCTTTGGCAAACTGTGCAGGTACTTCTGCATCTGGGTGAGTCAGGCAAGCTGGACGCCAGCTGAGGCGCGCGCCCCACCCCACAGCGCTGCCTGGCAGAGGTGTGTGGGAGGATGGGAGGGAAAGTTCCCAACAGCAAGTAGGATGGATGAGGGGGTCAGTGATAGGGGCGACAGCGGGTTGAGCCGGTCATGTAAAGCGGGACTTGTAGCTGAAGGAGAGCATCCCACAAAGATGGTAATGAAGGCAATGGAGGTTGATCTGGAGCTGTAGGTAGGAGGCATGAAGTCGGCCAGGGTCTAACTTCTGGGCGCTGGCACCTGTGGGAAAGCACGAGTCGAAGCTGGGGACTCCTTGAGTCCCGGGGTAAGCAGAGTGTGAGGAGTGGCAGTGTGTGTGTGGCGGGGGAGCGGGGGGCGGGGAGGGACAAGGGGGAGACAAAGGCACGGAGCTCTACGACACCGAGCGGCCGCGGCTTAGAGGGCGCCCTCCGGCTCTGGACTCCGGGAACCAGCGGCCGAGAGACCGTGTTCGACCCGGCGTTCAGAGGCACGGGGCTGTAGTTCCGGTACAGCACTCCTCGAGCCGGACCGGGTTCCCGCACGGTTTCCGGAGGGACGGCAGGGGCGTGGTCTTAGAGGGGTGGGGCTAGGCTCTGGGGCGGAGCTTCGGAGCTAGCTGGTCCCTCCGAGCTGGTCGACGCTTGCCTCTGGCGGGATGGAGGCGGGCGACGTGGCCGACTCGCTCCTTTCCGGAGCTTGCGTGCTCTTCACCCTCGCCATGTTCTCCACCGGCCTGTGAGAGCGCGGCCGGGCTGGGTCGGGGCAGGACCAGGAAGTCAGGAGAATGGATAGAGACTTAACCACAGCCCCAGGCTGCACCCGGGACCCAAGTGGAATCGGGTGGAGGGGATTCGGGTTGCGAGGGCAGAGGAGCTGGGGGCCGGGTCTGCGGGCTCTGGGGAGGGTGAGAAGCTCCGGAGGTTGCCCATTCATCCCACTCTTCCCTTCGGGGCCCCATTACAGCTCGGACCTCAGGCACATGCAGATGACCCGCAGTGTGGACAGCGTCCAGTTCCTGCCCTTTCTCACCACGGATGTCAAGTGAGAGTGGACGCCTGAGGTGGGACGGATAAGGGAGGCAGAGGAGGGGCAGGAGGACCGCCGAAGAAGGCTCCTGGTAACCCCCTGCCACACTCAACCCCGCTGGCTATGCGCCTATATTGCTTCCCTCCTCTTTGCAGTAACCTGAGCTGGCTGAGTTATGGGGTCTTGAAGGGAGACGGGACCCTCATCGTCGTCAACACTGTGGGTGCTGTGCTTCAGACCTTGTATGTTTTGGTGTATCTGCACTACTGCCCTCAGAAGGTAGAAGCCCTCCTTTGGACACACCTCTCTGCTGCACACCCTGCTTCGTTGGCAGGGCAAACACTACTTCCTAGAAAACTGTTAATAGCCTGGCATGGCCTCCTTTCCCTCGAAGGCTCTCCAGCCTTTCCTTCTCCTTCCTCTAAGAAGCCAGCCCTCGCAGACTGATATATGACCCCCCCTACTCTAGCAAGGCTAGTAGTTTACCTAGCTTAGGGGTGCTTGTGCTGCCCTGTGCTTCTACCAACCAGGCTGAGAAAGGGCTTTTGTTTCCATAGTTCCTTGGGGACCAGGACCAGTGGCTGAGAATAAGATGATTAGCTGTTTCCCTACTCAATCACACAAGCATTTACCAGGCTCCTACTGTGTATGCAAAGTTCATGGGGAGTGGGGGGGGGGGGTACCTTTGCCTTCTGTGGAGGTCTCCAGTGTTGTGTGGATAAGAGTATTCCATCAAATCACTGGGGGAAGAGAATGTAACAGCAATATGGAAAGATGCAGCAGAGGTTAGCTCCCACACTGGAGTATGAAGGAAGACAGGATGAATTCAGCAGAGAGGTCAGAGTGTTTTGGGGCACATCTGCAAGTATGACTACTTTCCCCTGCAGCATACTGTACTCCTACAGACTGCAACCCTGCTGGGGGTCCTTCTCCTGGGTTATGGCTACTTTTGGCTCCTGGTGCCAGACCCTGCAGCCCGGCTTCAGCAACTGGGCCTCTTCTGCAGTGTCTTTACTATCAGCATGTACCTGTCACCACTGGCTGACTTGGTGAGTAGGGCTGACCAGAAAGTTGGGTGACAGTGGGAGACAGGACAAAAGGGTTGGGTAACCAATCACAGAAGTAGTTTGACTTTTTTCTGAGGAAATTCTTGGTCTCTCACCCTTTTCCCACAGGCCAAGGTAATTCAGACAAAGTCAACCAAGCGTCTCTCCTTCTCCCTTACCATTGCCACCCTCCTTACCTCTGCCTCCTGGTCCCTCTATGGGTTTCGACTTAAAGATCCTTATATTATGGTAAGAAAACAGACGTTGTGACAAGTCTGCCAAGTGGAAAACTGGCTCCTCTCTTCTTAACAGCCCTTTGATTTCAGGTGCCCAACCTTCCAGGAATCATCACCAGCTTTATCCGACTGTGGCTTTTCTGGAAGTACCGCCCAGAGCAAGACAGGAATTATCGGCTCCTGCAAACCTGACCACGGCCACCTAATGCCAACTTGATACCAAAGAGAGCTCCTTTTATTCAGCTCATCCTGATGACCAGTTTCATGGGTGCAAGTGGGAAAAAGAAATGACTTAGAGATCAAAGGGATCAAAGAAAGAGCTTTACTTAGAAGAACAGGTAGAACCTAAGGGATGAAATCACTTATTTTTTTAAGAGATTATCTTTTTTTTTTCTTCAAATTTTGGAGATCAGGCTATCTTTAGAATGTGCCTTAAAATAAACTCTTCCTCAGTCCTTGTCCATCATAGCTCATTCTTTATTCCTGATTTGGTGAAGGGCAGATCTAGTTATTCTCAGGCTGTTAATGGCTCAGAAAATGAACTTGAAAGAAATAGGAAGCTGGGAAGACCAAGGAAGGCCTTTAAAAGAACAAACCCTGGGCTGGGAATGTGGCTTAGTGATAGAGTGCTTATATAGCATGTATGAAGCCCTGGGTTCCATTCCTCAGTACCACATAAACAGAAAAAGCTGGAAGTGGCACTGTGGCTCAAGTGGTAGAGAGCTTGCCTTGGACAAAAGAAGCTCAAGGACAGTGTGCAGGCCCTGAGTTCAAGCCCCAGGACTGGCAGGGGAACAAAAAGAAAAAAGCAGACCTAGAAAAAAAAAATGTTTGGGGGGAGAAATGTAGAGGGAGGTGGGGAAAAAAGAAAGAACAGATCTCAGAGAGCTAATCAGGAGGCTGAGATCTGAGGATCACCCTTCCAAGCCAGCCCAGGCAGGAAAGACCATTAGACTTTTATCTCCAATTTACCACTAAAAAGCCAGAGCACAAACCTTGAGCATAAAAAAGCTTAGGGAGGGGCTGGGAAGGTGGCTCAGTGGTAGAGCGCTTGCCTTGCATGCATGAGGCCCTGGGTTCGATTCCTCAGCACCACATAAGCAAAAAGAAAAAAGCCAGAAGTGGTGCTGTGGCTCAAGTGGTAGAGCACTAGCCTTGAGCTGAAGAGCTGAGGGACAGTGCCCACCCAGGCCCAGAGTTCAGGCCCCATGACTGGACCCAAAAAAAAAAAGCTTAGGGACAGTGCCCAGACCCTGACTTCAAGCCCCAGAACACACACACACACCTTGGAAGATATGGAAAGAGGAACTTAAAGTATTTCCTGCCAGATTTGGTGTAAGCTGTTTTTAAACACACACACACCCCCCACCCCCCAAAAAAAATACTTCCTGACAAGGGTTAAAAGGATCAGAACATGAAATGACATTTCTTTTCTTTGTTCTGTCGGTCATGGGGCTTGAACTCTGGGCTTGGTCGCTGTCCATTGGCTCTTCAGCTCAAGGTGAGCTCTCTACCTCTACCGCTTGAGCCACAGCAGCACCTCTGGCTTTCTGGTGGTTTATTGAAGATAAGAGTCTCACAGCCTTTCCTGCCCGGGCTGGCTTTGAACCGTGATCCTCAGATCTCAGCCTCCTGAGTAGCTCTGAGGTCTGAGATATTCTCTCTCCAATCTCTCCCTCTCTCTCTCTTTCTCTCCCTCCCTCCCTCTCTCTCCTCTCTGGTCTCTCCTCTCTCTCCCAGATACACAGTCCTCAATGCCATACTCAAACCACACAAGATTAAAAAACAAAACTGTTCTTTAATGGGGGGTGGGAGGGAGGTTGTCTGGACTGCAATGGGGTTGGAGGCGTCAAAAGCGCAGCCCCTTGCGGGCTAAGTCAGCTCGGGCCTCCTGGATCTGGCTCTGCAGCTCTCGGGCGGCGTCCTCGCAGTCGTGAAAAGTGGCCACGCGGTAGCCCACAGTGGCCAGTGCGTAGCAGCCGGCGGTCACCAGCAAGTAGGCGGGCAGCGGCCACAGGACCTCCTGGCACGGCACGGGCAGCTCCAGGCCCAGAGCGCCCATGGTTAGGGCTGCCCAAGTGGAGCCCAGGAGCGCCAGTCCCCAAAGCCACTGCGCTAACTTCGTCATGGTCACTGTGGGAAGAGAAAGTAAAGCTCGGATTGCCTGCCTTCCCACTGTCCCGCTCCACATTTGAGGCTCAGGCCTCATGGCAGCCATCCGCCTCTCCCTCTCCACTACCTAGACTTACACACGTACCATCTACACGTACCACTCCGCAGCGTCCAGTCCTGCTCTCGGCGCTGCCCGGGCTGGCGTCATCGTCCTGACGTCCCCTGCGCTCGCGCCGCGGCCCCCCCCCACGGCCTTGTGGGAGTTGTAGTTCTTAGGGTGGTGCTTGGTAGGCTCCACGGTGATGCCAATGTTCAGACTACGCTCAGAATTTTCCGCTCTGCTAACCGCAGGCTGCATCTGGAAGGGGCCCGCTGCCTCGCCTCCCTTCCTCGCAGCCCTGTTTTAAGCTGGCGTGGGACTTGTAGAAAGCTTGACATCCCTAAATGTTGCAACAAGGTGGAAGATGTAATATTGTTCCCATTTAAACTCAGTTCTTCAGCGCAAAATCTATTCATTCACTGACACATTTCGTTCAAATATTGTGGGGTTTTATTTTTTGGAGGGGGGCTTGGAAGGGTTCGTGGGTTTTTTTTCAGAGCTAATTTATTTTTTGTAAGTAGTTGTATGAGAAGGTTTCAATTCCTCAGGTCAGATTATGAGTACAGTGAATTTTGATCAGTGCTACCCCTTGCATGGTTCTCCCCTATTTCCACCCCCATCCCTGCCCGCGAGTTAACTTGGTTCAACTTTTACGTAATTTACATTAATTTAATGATTGTATCTTCTCATACTTCCCCTAAAAAACACATTGTAACTTCCTGGTATTCATTTTGTTCAATGGTTAGTTAGTTACTCAGAAGCGTTACATCATTAGGAAAAAGCCAAAGAATATATATTATTTCAAAAATTTATAATTTGGTAGAAAAGAAAATAGTACAATTTAATAATAGAAAGGGGAGAGATTCCCAATAAGATAATGTGGGGTTATTTTCTATTTCTACAGAGGCTTTAAAAATTATTGTTATTATAAGGTGACATACAAATGGGTTACCGTTTCATAAGTCACGTAGTAACTACATTTCTTTTGGGGCAATGTCATCCCTTCATTCGCTCTCAGTTTTTCACTCCTGTACCCGTAAGTTGTGTAGCTCATTTTCAACATAGTGTCTAGTGAGTGCCATTGCTGCATTTGTTCACCCTTTATCCCTCCATTTCTGTGCTTGCCCTTACTGCCCCCATAGACAAATAAGCAAGCATACAAGAAAACTAAAACAAATTAAAAACACCAAAAGACAAAAATAGACAACTCCATCTTCACCAAGAGCAGAAACAAAAACAAACAAAACTCTTTGTTCTTATTTCCTTTTTTAAAATTTTTAATTTTCTATTTTTTTAATTTAATTGTATTGCCAAGGTGATGTACAGAGGAGTTACAGTTACATACATAAGGTAATGAGTACTTTTCTTGTACAACATTGTTACTCCTTCCCTGATTTTTCTCCCACTTTCCCTCTCCTCCAACTCCCCCCCACACACACACACTTGTAAGGTTCATTTCCAACATATTGTCTTGTGAGGCTTGCTGTTACATTGGTTCACCCTTTGTCCTTTGTCTTATAATTTTCTTCCCTTCCCTTCCCCAAATCAGATAAGTGTATACACAAGGCACAGGGTACCCAAATAAAATACAATGACAACAGAATATAGACCAAAGGGGAAAAAAATGAAAGAAAAAAATAACTTCATACAGTATTTTAAAAACAAAAACAACAAAGCAGGTCCCCAGTGGCTCATGCTTGTAATCCTAGCTACTTAGGAGGCTGAGATCTGAGGATCGTGGTTCAAAGGCAGCCCAGTCAGGAAAGTCTGTGAGACTCTAATCTCCACTCAGAAAATCAGAAGTGGTGCTGTGGCTCAAATGGTAGTGCACTCACCTTGAGCTGAAGATCTGAGGAACAGCACCCAGGCCCAGAGTTCAGGCTCTATGACCAACAAATATACATATAGCAGGCACCAGTGGCTCATGCCTATAATACTAGCTACTCAAGAGACTGAAATCTGATGATCCCAGTTCAGAGACAGCCCAGGAAGGAAAGGCTATGAGACTTGTATCTCCAATTAACCACCAGAAAACTGGAAGTAGCACTGTGGCTCAAAGTGGTAGAGTATAGCCTGAAGAGCTTAGGGATAGTACCCAGGCCCCGAGTTCAAGACCCATGATCAACAAAAAAAAAACCCTTGGGGTTGGAGACATGGCTCAGTTAGTAGTGTTAGCCAATGGGCAAAAGCATCGGGCGCTGAGTTCAAGTCCCAGTCTCTGACAAAAAAAAAATGTTCTTATGCCTGGCTGCTTGCCATGTCTCTCTTGTACCAACATCCTAATAAAACATTGGTTTTCCTATTTTTAAAAAAAAAGTGCTGGGAAGGTGGCTCAGTGGTAGAGTGCTTGCCTCACATGTACAAGATCTTGGGTTCGAAGAAACCAAAACATAAACAGAAAACAAAAACAAAAACCAGAAGTGGTGCTGTGACTCTAATGGTAGAGCACTAGCCTTGAGATGAAGAGTTGAGGGGCAGAGCCCAAGCCCAGAGTTCAAGCCCCACAACCGACAAAAAAAAAATTAGATAGATAGATAGATAGATAGATAGATAGATAGATAGATAGAGATATATTATATCTATCTATACAGATAGATAGATGAGTATAGATATAGATATATGTATAAAGATATATAGATATATAGAGAGGGGGAGATTTGGTCCATGTGACCTCTTCTGAAAAAAAAAGGCAGGGGCTGGGAAGGTGGCTCAGTGGTAGAGCGCTTGCCTTGCATGAATGAGGCCCTAGGTTTGATTCCTCAGCACCACATAAGCAAAAAGAAAAAAGCTGGAAGTAGCACTGTGACTCAAGTGGTAGAGCATTAGCCTTGAGCTGAAGAGCTGAGGGACAGCGCCCAAGCCCAGAGTTCAGGCCCCATGCCTGGACCCCCCCCCCCCAAAAAAAAAAAGCAGAAAAGCAGCTAGAGAAGGTCTCTAGGAGTATGTCCTTAAAAAAAAAAAAAAAAAAAGCCAGGCGCTGGTGGCTCACGCCTGTAATCCTAGCTACTCAGGAGGCTGAGATCTGAGGATCGCAGTTCAAAGCCAGCCCTGGCAGGAGAGACCGTGAGACTCCTATCTCCAATAAACCACCAGGAAACCGGAAGTGGCACTGTAGCTCAAGTGGTAGAGCGCTCGCCTTGAGCTGAAGAGCTGAGGGACAGCGCCCAGGCCCAGAGTTCAAGCCCCACGACCGACCCCCCCCAAAAAAAAAAATCTGGCCAGGCCCAGGTGGCTCATAATCCTAGCCATTCAGGAGGCTGAAATCTGAGGACTGCAGTTCAAAGCCAATCCAGACAGGAGCCAAACTGACTCTTGTCAGTTAATCACAGAAGAAGCTGGAAGTGGTGTTATGGCTCAAGTGTTACAGCATTAGCCTTGAGCAAAGGGAGCCCAGGGACAGTGCCCAGGCCCAGAGTTCAAGCCCCAGGATAGAAAGAGAGAGGGGAGGAAGAAGGGAGGGAGGAAAGGAGGAAAGAAGGAAGGAAGGAAGGAAGGAAAAGAAGGGCTCTCACTCAGATTTGGAATTTGCCTCCCTCTGAAACTAAAACTAACCAAAGCAGAAAATGTCAACACACATGTACTTAGTCATCTGCAGAAGGAACTTATATCAGTTGGTTTGTGAAGCATTGAATGATGATAGCAAGGGGACAGGAAGGCAGTGCAAGGGCTAATGTGTGAGGTCAGCCCTGACATAAACCTAATGACAGCTTTTCATAACAACAGGAGTCCATGAACACGCCCACTGCATGCTTCCCAAATGCTACACATTGTCCAAAGAACAATGTCTTGCTTAATTCTGGAGGGCAACGTGGGAGAAGACCAGTTACTGTTGCTATTATACAGCTGAGAAAAGTGAAGTCCAGAAAGGTTATTTGTTCAAGGTTATATAGCTAAGTTAACCGGGCAACTGGGCTCTAAAAGGTCAATGTTTCTTTGTTTGTTTGTTTATGGGTGCTAGGAATTCAAGTCAGTACCTTGATCTTGCTTGGCTAGTACTCAAACTACTTGAACCTTGCCTCCAGCCCTCTTTTTTTCTTTTTTTTTTGGGGGGAGGGGCAGTTACTGGGTTTGAAATCAGTGCAGGTATTCTCACACTTGTGCCACACTCCCAAACCTTTTTTATTTTATTTTTGGTTGTTTGAGAAAGAATTTTTGCTTCCTTAGCTGAATTCACCTGCCTCTGTATCCCCCAGTAGCTTCTAAAAGCCCAGTTTTTAATCCCCAAATTGCATTGCTTCTCAGACTAGGCTGTAATCATGCATACTTTACCCTGCCTTGTAGCAGAAGATGGATAAACTTCAAAAAGATCAAAGAGTTGGACCAATCTGCTAGAGCTGGGTGCCAGTGGCTCAAGCCTGTAATCCTAGCTACTCAGGAGGCTGAGATCTGAGGATCATGGTTCACAGCCAGCCTGTGCAGATGAGTCTGTGAGACTCCTATCTCCGATTTAACTACCAGAAAACTGGAAATGGTGCTCTAGCTCAAATGGTAGAGCGTTCACCTTGAGCTGAAAAGCTCAGGGACAGTGCCCAGGCCCAAAGTTCAAGCCCCATGACCAACAACAAAAATAAATAAATTAAATTAAATAAAAATAAATAAAATCTGGTAGACACTGCCCAAAGCTTTCCAAGGTCAAAGACCCTATATAGGCAGACTGAACCCTCAAGAATAGTTATATTTCTTAGAGCTAGGAAAGCTGGACCCATTTCTCCCAGTTTCTCTAAAGCCCATCAAATGCTGACTAATCCTTCCCTCCCTCATCTGACATTTATAGCTTGGTCTGGAGATATGATGATAGTGGGCAAAGAAACAGAACTGCCTGCAATCCAACATGATTTGTGGCCATCCATAGAAGACACTTGTGAGCACAGAGGAGAAAGGTGGTAACCAATCATCATCTCCCCCTACCCCAAGACAGGATCAAGACTAAGGAAGGCTGCTTAGAGGACATGATCCTTGAGCTGAACTCAGGAGAAGGCTGGAAAAGTATGTCCACATTTTCTTTTAGCATACCTAACAAAAAAGACAAGTATTTGAGTTAAGGGTGAGAGGTTGGTCCTTTGGGTCAGGGGTCTCACCCTATGACTCTCATGTAAGCGTGCTACCATGTC